TCGCCGCCGAGGGCCGGGGTGCCGCGGGGTGCCGCGGGCTTGGTAGAGTCTGCCGCCGCCGCTGCCGTCCGAAACCTGGATTGCAGGAGCCCTTCACCATGCCCGGCAGACTGTAGGTGCTTCATGGAGCAAGCCAACTTCTACGAGGTCGATTCCCGGCCCCCGATGAGCAGCGGCCAGCACCACCAGCTCCAGATTCCCCTGCCCGGCAGCGCCTACAGCTACAGAGAGGCTCCCTCGGCGGCGGCACCTGCTGCGGGCGGCGCGGAGCTCGGCGACATCTGCGAGAACGAGAACTCCATCGACATCAGCGCCTACATCGACCCCGCCGCCTTCAACGACGAGTTCCTGGCCGACCTCTTCCAGCACAGCAAGCAGCAGGAGAAAGCCAAGGCCATCCTGGCCGGGGATTTCGACTTCCACAGCATGCATGGGGCCGGCGCCGCCGCCTCGGCGCCGGGGCACCAGCAGCAGCACCACCAGCAGCCGCTCTTCGGCTGCGTGGCCGGCTACATGGACGGCAAGCTCGACCCCCTCTACGAGCGCATCGCCGCGCCCGGCTTGCGGCCGCTGGTGATTAAGCAGGAGCCCCGCGAGGAGGAGGAGGTCAAGTCGGCGGCCCTGTCGGCCCTCTACCCCCACCACGCTCCGCAGCAGCACCCGTCCCACCTGCAGTACCAGATCGCCCACTGCGCCCAGACCACCATGCACCTCCAGCCCGGGCACCCCACGCCGCCCCCCACGCCCGTGCCCAGCCCGCACCACCCGCACCACCCGCACCCCCCCGGCGGCCTGCCCGCCGCCGGCGCCCTCAAGATGATGCCCGCGGACCACCGGAGCAAATCGAAAAAGACAGTGGACAAGAACAGCAACGAGTACCGGGTGCGCCGGGAGCGCAACAACATCGCGGTGCGCAAGAGCCGGGACAAGGCCAAGCAGCGCAACGTGGAGACGCAGCAGAAGGTGCTGGAGCTCACCACCGACAACGAGCGGCTGCGCAAGCGGGTGGAGCAGCTCACCCGGGAGCTGGAGACTCTGCGGGGCATCTTCAGGCAGCTGCCCGAGAGCTCGCTGGTGAAGGCCATGGGCAGCTGCGCCTAGCGCCGCGCCGCGCCGCGCCGGGACTGGCGGGGCCGCCGCGCCCGCTGCCGGGCTGCCCTCGCCCGCCTATGGACACTCTCCGTGCCGGAGCGCGGCGAGCTCAGATTGTTTGGGGGGGGGGGGAGGAGGTCGGGGGTTCGCTTTGGTTCTCTCTGGTTGGTTTTTCACAGTTGACGGCCAATGCGAGAAGCCAGGCAGCTGTAGTATTACAAGGTTTGTGCCTTAGGGGTGACACACGAATAAGCTGAAAACATGGTGGGTTTTATAAGGGGAAGGGCGAGGGGAGGAAGAAACTAAAAAGCCCACGTGTCTACACAGGGTAAATAACAATAATAGTAATAAAGCACGCATAGCGATCCAGATGTGCCTTAAAAGCTGGCTGCAGGAGCTCTGGGGCTAGCCGTTCCCCCCCAGCCTGGCAGGGCGCGAAGCAAAACGGTGAGGGACGTGCAGGCTTGAGGGACGGGGCATCTGGGGGTGCCAGCCAGGCTCCCCCCCCTCCTCCCCCAGCTGGCCTGCGGTACAGCAGGCAGGGGCAGCTGCGGGGAGGCCGGCGAGGAGAAGAGGGCTCAGGCTGAGAGACGTGCAGCGCCGGATGCCCGTTTGGAGCACTGAGGTGTGGGGCAGCTGCCGGACTGCTGCCAGGACTGCCCCAGCCTGGCTGGGCTGCCTCTGCCGAGCCCCGTCCCCTGCCTTGGCTGGGAGCGGGGCAGGGGCCGCCGCCGCTGCGGGAACGCTGGACGGCCTGGGACTGATGGAGCAGCAGCTTGCGAGGGAGCGTGGTGAGCTCCCTCCATCAAAAGGAAGAGCAGCAGTGTCTTGTACTGTATGTCACGACGTGGCGAAGCACAAATGAATAAATACCTATCGATGCGGGTATTTACTATGAACTTTCAGTGTATTTTGCTTTATTCCAGGACATTTAGCTCCTCTCCGAGTCTCTGTCTGTCCAAGCTGTGCCA